TAGCTTCATAAAATTATGGTTGAACCACTGATGTCACATGGACTATTTTATCGATGTCCTTGCTATGTTTCTGTGCCTTGATCGTGGAAGGACCCTTGCTGTCTATGGAGGGTCAGAAAGCTCTCGTATTTCATCAAAAATATCTTAATTTGTGTTCCGAAGATGAACGAAGGTCTTATGGGTTTGAAATGACATGAGGCTGAGTAATTAATGACAGAATTTTCATTTTTGGGTGAACTATCCCTTTAACCATGAACATGCGTGATCCAGAGACCCTGTGGTGCTCCAGGAGATCAGCATCCCACAGATCTTTGTGTTCAAGACTGTTGAATCAGATTCCTGCTCCTTTCCCCACTGCACTGTCACCAGCACAACCAGTGGACGAAGTCGCCGCCACCGGACTGCTCACTCGATCGCAGAGAACGTAACTATCACTTATCCAAACCTCTTCCAGAGACCTTGGCATATAAAACTGATTGCAGTTGATAACAAATAATCTTTCACATATTTGTTTGATGCATAATAAAGTTCTTCACCTTATTTGTTTCAGAGTAGCATCCGTTTATCTTTCCAGATAACGTAGCTCTGAAATAGCAACACCCAACTTAATCACTTGCACTTTATGCATCTTAAGCACTTTATTCCTTTTTCATTCATGGCATTCATTTAGCAGTTGTTGGTTACTCTTGTCTATCTTTTGTTAATAAAATCTATTTTATTACACTTGGGTCTTCCTTGTAGAACCTATTTCTGTATCATCAACAAGTTAGAGATGCCACCCTTAGTTCTTCTGTTATGTACTCATAACCATTGATGATCCAAATATAACGTCATTGGTGACGCGAGTACCCATCACTACACTATTTCGCCTCCCTAGGTTGGCGAAAGCAAATTCACTACACAAGCATCTCCTCTGTTTGTGCTTCAAAAAGACTTTCCCCAACCATTTATGAACAAAGTTGTTGAAAGTGAATTTAATGCTATTACAGGCTTTTCAAAGTGCACAGGCGACCCTTTTTCTAAACCTCTTACCACACTCAGAACACGCCAATTTCTTGCCAGAATGAGATTGTAAATAACTCTTCAGATCTATTTGATATGTGAAACTCGCACTGAAGATGCGCGAGAAGGCCTCTCTGTGGTGTGAACTCTCATGTGACTCTGAAGAGCTGTTCTCTGTCTGAAACGCTTTCCACACTGTTGGCATGTAAAGGGTTTCTCTCCAGTGTGAATTCTCATGTGAGTCTCGAGGTTTGCTTTTCTTGAGCAACTCTTTCCACAGTGATGACACATAAAAGGCTCCTCTCCGATATGAGTTACTACGTGCTTCTTTAACTGTTCCCCGTCTGTGAATCTCCTTCCACACTGATGGCATATAAAGCAGCTCTCTCTTGAGTGAATCTCCATGTGCTTACGAAGGAATTCTTTACGTGCAAACCCTTTTTCACACTGATTACAGGTGTAAGGCTTCTCTCCGGTGTGAACTCTCATGTGAGCTATAAGATTTCCTTTCTGAGTCATAGTTTTTCCACACAGTTGGCAGGTGTACGGCTTCTCTCCGGTGTGAACTCTCATGTGAGCTACGAGACTTCCTTTCCGATTCACAGTTTTTCCACAGAGTTGGCAGGTGTATGGCTTCTCTCCGGTGTGAATTCTCGTGTGAATATCAAAGGTTGCTTTATGTGGGAAACGCTTCCCACACTGACCACATTGAAATGGCTTCTCTCCAGTGTGAACTCTCATGTGGATGTAAAGCGTTCCTTTATACGTGAAGCCCATTCCACAGAGAGGGCAGGTATGAGGCTTCTCTCCGGTGTGAGTTCTCATGTGAATCTTTAGACTGGCGTTTCGTGGGAAGCTCTTTCCACACTGATGGCACATGTAAGGCTTCTCTCCAGTGTGAACTCTCATATGGACTTTAAGGTTTTCTTTTTTGTTTAAACTCTTTCCACACTGTTGGCAGGTGAAACATTTCCTAGTTCCAGTCTTCCCAGCTCTTTTTGGAGAGCAAGTCTTTTCCGTCTCTGAGCAACTGAAAGATTTTTCTCCAGTTGTGAAGTCGTGATGTTTCTCATGCAGATCTTTCTCTTCTGTTTCATTCAGTGCCACCAGGTCTGAAGCAACAAAAAAAAGACACATATATGTTAACCCCAGTTTAATGTCATAAATCAATAGACATCAAAACATTTAAAGCATCAAAACCAAAAATATAGCTGTAAGCAGAGATGATGGGCTCAAGCAGGGTTCCAGGCATGTAAATATATATGCATATATAATATACACACTGTGTAGGTAACTATAAAGTTTACTCTGCTCTTCTCCCAGTTCACTGGAGACTTACTTTAACGTCTTTCAGGAAGAGAAGATGAATTTGCGTGTTGTAAATCCTCAGATTCAGCGCAAACTAACATCTCCCATTATAGATCAACTAACACTGATTATTATAAAAGTGTTTAACCTAGCAAATACATTTACTTATACATATTTGAAAATCGGAGTATCAGATATGTCATGATATAGTGAACACACGTATGTGAATATTTTTCATTTAAAAAAGGAAAATCTAAATAAAAGCGATACAACTGTCATACAGTGCTATTGTGGCTGTGGTGTGTCGCCATGGAAACAATAAGGCGATCATTCTAAAATAGCGATCACCTAAAAAAGCTCTGGGGGCTCAGGTAGAATATTTTAAACTCGCGTGTGAAAGGGTTAAGTGGGAAAAAAGGAGGACTATTTTAAAGTCACAGTTCCTGCTGCCTGTTGGTGGCACTGTGACAATGACAATCACATCCACGTGATCCGCCTCCTTGACCAATCATACAGCTCAATTCTGAATCCCATTTTTCAATATAAATTTATCAACATATCAAAAACCCCATCATCGTCAATTATCTTGGCATTATGGTAATCAAGTTTGATGTAAAAAATCTAAAACAGCCAACTTCCGTAGGGTGGAGCTATTAACTAATGTTGAATAAGGATGCACGATATTAGATTTTTGCCAATGTCCGATATGCCAACATTTTCAAATCACCTGTGCGGAAATTATAATATGTGACCCTGGAGCACAAAACCAGTAATAAGTCGCTGGGGAATCTACAACTACAGCAATAACCAACAGCAGCAGCAGCGCAGCAGATCTATTCCACCAAGACCAAATACATTAACATTGTCATATCCATCACCATGCTAAAATCTTCTGAGAGTTGTCATGATTAAAATTATAAGTTTAGAGAAAAAAATGCCCTTTATTACAATGAGCATTTTTGAGGATGAGAAGAAAAAAATATATAGACAACAAATGTAAAGTTGATCACTCACATCTGTTTTTGTTAGATACATAATTAATTGATAGATATGAATGGTTATCACAGTTTCTAATTCAGAGATAGATTTGGGTTTAATGTTACACAAAGTTTTAGTTATTGAATGTGTGACAAATAAAACAACTCTCCAAATAAAAGGCATTTTACAATGTCATTTCTGTAGAGTTGGACATTTTATCACGGAACAAATAAAACCAACCTGTTGGTTCCTCAGTATCTTCATGTTTGGCTCTGAATGTTTCTTCAATCGTCACGTCTTCACTCTCCTCTTTAATAAACGCCATCTTTATTATACTGTGTCTCGAGGGTCTCAGTCGCTTCAGCAGGAGTTTTTCTGTGTGTTTAAGATGAGAATAATTAGCAGGAAAAAAAACTAAATGCAAACTAAATCTCTGGGTGCATCTCAATCTACTCCCTAGTTCAGTAGTTAGCACACTGATAAGGGAGTCAGTCAGAGTGATAATTAATGGCCTTAAATCAACCTGGGGTGCATTTCCCAAAAGCAACTGTGGTTGCAAGAGTTCAATGAAACTTGCAGCCATAGTTGCTTTTGGGAAATGCACCCGATTAACTAACCCGAACACTCAAAACTAGCACTACGTATTAATAAATGAATGCACTTTACAGTCATTTCATATTTAGTTATGATTTATATTTCGTATTTAATGACTTTTTGATCATATTTAATATTATACTTTTGGTTTATAATGTTTTACATGTGTTGGTTTACAAGTCATTACACATTTGTTGCTCTTGTTGTTTTGAGCAGTGGGTGTCTACAGTGTGCGGTGACTCGAACACTTAAAACTTTGCTGTGTTCGGAATGCCATACTATCATACTACTCTTACTATTTCTGCAGTATCCAGTATGTATACTGTACATAGTATACAAACTTTCTGTAAGCATGAAATACCCAGATGACCTATTATGTTTGTCAGAATCTGTTAAATATAACTAAAGCACACTGAAATCAGTACAGAAGTTGTTCAGAATGGCATACTACTGTCACGTTGCGCTACTGTGAGGAGCACGGAGCGAGGAACGAGAACTACAATTCAAAAACAGAGACTTTAATCACATCAAGAGAACCAGGAAATCACACGTAGCGGGAAAGGATCGACGACATTCAATACCTGACCCTGGAGACAAGGAAACACAAGACTTAAGTACAGGGGAACTAATAGGACACACCTGGGAACAAATTAACTGAACGGGGAACACCTGGAACAAATGATCATAATGACAGGAACGGGAAGGACCAAATAAGGGCAAAGAAAGGCACTGGGGGAGCAAAACACACAAAACACGGAACAGGGTCTGACATTACTCCCCCCTCCCAGAAGGCGCGTCCTCGCGCCTCACAACATCCAACGGGGAGGGGGGGTGGGCACTCTGGAGGCCCCTCAGGACAGACACGGGACAGCAGGCATCCAGAGCGGCACTCGTTTGGAGTAGATAACTCAGGGGGCCATGGCGGATCTGACAGTTCGGGGCGCAATGGTGGAGCAGGCAGACTAGGAGGCCATGGCGGAGCAGGCAGCTCAGAAGGCCATGGCTGGACGGCCTCTGTGGCCTTGGCCTCGCCACTCAGCCCGACCCATAACTACCCCTCCCAAAAAAATCCTTGGGGAGAATATAGTCTTTAGAGGCCCTTCCGTAGGCCTAACTCGGGAACAGTGGCCCTCACTGGGCTCGACATGGGAACTGGAGCCCTTTCTGTGCTACACTCGGGGACTGGAGCCTTCTCTGGGCTAAACTCGGGGACTGGAACCCTCTCTGGGCTAAACTCGGGAACAGGAGGCCTCTTTGGGCTGGATTCGGGGGCTGGAGCCGACACTGGAGCGAGCTCTGGGGCTGGAGCTGACCGCCCTTCTCCTCCTTCGATTCCCCTTTTGGTTCGGGGCGAAAGGCGTGGTCGGTGGGCTGGAGAGAGCTGTGGCCGGCGGGCTTGACTGAGGAACAGCCGGTGGAGGGGCTCCGAATCGGGGGCTCTCCAGACACCGGACGACCGCCTCCCTCCAGTCGAGGTTGGTGGTGTCTGGGAGTTCCGTGGGCTCATAGTAAGTGATCCCGAGCCGGAACAGCATCAAGAGGGTCTCCCCATCGAGGGAGCTGGCGAGGGCGAGCGGCACGAATGCCCTCGTGTAGGTGAGCGGGTCGTGGCATAAACATCGCTCATTTCTCCATGTAGGTGGGGAGAAATGAAATGGAAAACAAAAGACTTATAAAACAAAAACATGGGAGAAGGGGCGCCGCTTTCTTTTCTGTTTTGCTCTACTGTGAGGAGCACGGAGCGAAGAACGAGGAGACGAGGACTAGAATTCAAAAACAGAGACTTTAATCACATCAAAGGAACCAGGAACTCACACGTAGTGAGAAAGGATCGACGACATTCAAAGACATTCAATACCTGACCCTGGAGTCAAGGAAACACAGGGCTTAAGTACAAGGGAACTAATAGGACACACCTGGGAACAAATTAACTGAAAGGGGAACACCTGGAACAAATGGATCATAATGACAGGAACGGGAAGGACCAAATAAGGGCAAGGAAGGCACTTGGGGAGCGAATCACACAAAACACGGAACAGGGTCTAACAACTACCATACAACTCCTACTATACTGCAGTATGCAGTGTGTATACTGTGAATAGGATGTGAATTTTCTGTATGCATACATTTGCTGAAATCTGATGTATGTAGGTTTGGCACCGTCTCAGTCTCTGTCCGGCACGGGCAAAATAATTATAATGCTGAAGGTGAGGGACAATTCATATTTATGAAATAACTTACAAAATAATCTGAAATCTTTCTGTGAAATGTAATTTTACGAACGGCACGAGTGAATCAACACATGCTCTCGCTCTCTTTCTCTCTCAAAATGCGCAAAATTTTCCATTTCCTAAACCCAAACAAAACAGAAATGTCTGCGGAAAAAAGTTGGAGGTATTTCTTTTCTTTTAAGATGTGACTTTGACCCCATTAAAACGGCCTTTTAAGCGATCTCATTTTCATGTGCGGGTGTTACTATATTGGAAAACGTTGTACAAGCATAATTTTACTCCACATAATGTTATAATTTGGAATAACAGGTGTATTTTACATAAGAGGACATCTTTATTTTATGAAGACTGGTTTGACAAGATTGTAATGCATGTAATGGATGAAGACGGTAATATATTAAGTTATGATCATTTTAATATACATTTGAATTTGGAATGTTCATACAGACAATTTTCTTGAGTTGTCAAAGCTATTCCTGTATTAATTAACGGTATATTACAATATTCTTCATTGGTTGATTTGTCTATCGATAATTATAATTTCTTGGATGTCAAGTGACATTTTTGGGATCATTAATTACAAAAAGAATATCTTCCTCTTAAAAGAAAGCGCTAAATAGTAAGGGACTCAAAATCGATCCCTGGGGAACACCAAATTGAACCAAATCAGCTTTGGACAATTCTATTCAACACTTAGCATTTCTATACACGCTAAATAGTAAGGGACTCAAAATCGATCCCTGGGGAACACCAAATTGAACCAAATCAGCTTTGGACAATTCTATTCAACACTTAGCATTTCTATACACGCTAAATAGTAAGGGACTCAAAATCGATCCCTGGGGAACACCAAATTGAACCAAATCAGCTTTGGACAATTCTATTCAACACTTAACATTTCTATACACGCTAAATAGTAAGGGACTCAAAATCGATCCCTGGGGAACACCAAATTGAATCAAATCAGCTTTGGACATTTCTATTCAACACTTAGCATTTCTATACACGCTAGATAGTAAGGGACTCAAAATCGATCCCTGGGGAACACCAAATTGAATCAAATCAGCTTTGGACAATTCTATTCAACACTTAGCATTTCTATACACGCTAGATAGTAAGGGACTCAAAAATATTGTCGTCAATCACAGACATTCGCATTCGTACGGGATTAGTTTCCTCAGAGGATCACTAATTTGTTGAAAAACAGTAGGTAATTTACTATGGTAATAATTAGAGGTTAGTGTTGTCACGGTACCAAAATTTCAGTATTCGGTACCAATACCAGTGAAAATCCACAGTTCTCGGTACCAATTTTGGTACCAAATCAAAACACCAAATCAAAAAAATGTGCCTATACTTTCATTTAATCCAAACTGTGTACATATTTAATTTTAAAGGGCTTTTAAAACCTTCTAGAGTTATTCAGTCAAGAATAACAACTAAGTTAAGCTAAAAAAAAAGCCCAGAACTGCTTTTCTGACTGATATGACACAATGTTAACCATTTGTACATTCTCGAACACATATTTTAGATTCACAATTCATTTAAAAGCCTCTGGTGAGTAAAAATAGTAAATATCATCATGTCCTCCTGTTTTCTTAACCCTAATAAAAGTTATAGGAGCATTAAATAGTTAATGAAACTTCATTCTAATGCTCATTATATTAGCGTTAGCCGCACTTATGCTAATGATTTGACTACTCTAATAACAGCGATGTTCATTTCAATCCAACATTCATGTGGCCGCAGGGAAATGACACGCAGAACCAACAAATATGAGTAGGGTTCGTATTTTATTTCTTATAATTGGTTAGGAGTTTCTATTTCTTTTTAATTTAGGTATGTGGGGCGGAAAACCCGGAATAAAATAAAATACAATGTCAGAAAATCTTTGGATTACACAGCAAATTGTTCACCCCAAAATAAAGATAATATAAAGTTCAATTCGTGGTCTCTTTTTGTGTATAACAATAAAGGACAAGAAGTGGATTTGTCTCTCTAAGCGAGATCCCAATTCGTTGGTCACTAACGTGACGTCTCCGTTCTCTCCTTCAGGGAACGAGGGTTACTTTACGTAATAGAAACCTTAGGTTGTTTCGCCATTAGATGGCAACAAGAGACTGTTTTTATGAGTGAATCTGCAGTAAAGACTTTTATATTGAAAGAGATTGAAACAGGGTTGTAAACAAGGAAGTTATTTTTACTTTCAACAACAGCTTGTAAGACACAGCCAACAAATGCACTGAGCAGCGCTGTCATCGGAAATCCCCGTCCACAGTAAAAAGTATGCTATGACAAAGAGAACCTATCGCTTTCCTCAGCGGACATTAAAACTAATGTTTTGTTGTGAATATGAGATTGAACTGAAGATTGAATGCTGTATCAGATGCAACTGGCTCAAGTCAGTCTCTGACATAGCACTCCTAATGTTTTGTTGTGAATATGAGATTGAACTGAAGATTGAATGCTGTATCAGATGCAACTCGCTCAAGTCAGTCTCTGACATAGCACTCCAATACATAGCTTTTAATACAGTAATACAATAAGCTTTCAATGAAGCAACTCATCGTTCCTTCATTACTAGTTCTAAAGTGACGTTTTTGAATTAGTAACGGAGGCTTGGTCTCAGCTGTCAAACTGAGATTTGAATCCGCGGCGGAAGGAAGTAGTTCCGCACAAAAGTCATTCCGTTGTTGTTTCTTACGCATTTACACACTCGTGCTGTCGAAACTGTTGTATAAACGCAATATCACACTCATAGACGTGAGATATGGCTGTATATTGGCACGCTGTGATTACCTATGGCCGTGTGATATTGCTCTCATATAAATAAATTAATGAATTTCGGCACATGTCTACTGTGTAATAGCCCTCATGTTCCCATTGTCTTTGTCTATATATGTAGGTTGGTACAAGAATACATAAATACAAACTATTATGGATATTTAGAAATATGTACTGATGGATCTAAAGATTAAGGAATAGACATACTGGTGTGGGCATTGCTATCGCAGAATTCAAAGTAAAAATTGGTAAAAGATTATCCAATAATGTAGTTATATCGGTGGTGGAAGTCAAACCAGACAGAGTTGTATTTTATTCAGATTAAGCAGTATACAGAGTATTAATAAACAGCTAGAGATGACATTCTAATAGAAATCTACACAGCATTGCTAAACTTTGAAAAATTACGAATAGATGTGCAATTCTGTTGGATACCAGCACATACAGGAGTTCAAGGAAATGAAATAGCTGACAAATTAGTGAAAAAGCATTAAATCATAATGACAAAATAGAGATTTCCCTTGAAAAATATAAAAAAAATATCAATAGCAACATTAACAATGATAATCACTGAAAAAAGAAAGAAAATATAACAGTATTCAAAAACGTATTAAATTTAAAACCATTAATTGTAAAAACAGAAGAGAAGAAATCAGGCATGCAAGGCTATGGTTAGGACACACATGACTTAATACATTATTTCTTATGAGTAAAGTGAACACTGATAAATGTGAGGTTTGTAAATGCAAAGCAAATTTAGAGCATGTTCTACTAAACTGTAGGAAATATAAAGAAGAAAGGGAAAAAACTTAAATAATGCATAATCAAATTAGGAAGGAAATGGGAAATTAAAGGTATTTTAGGAATAATTAATCCTCAAATGGAAGTTGTAAAGGTATTAATGAATTTTTGCATGAAACTGGTTTTAGAAGAATTTAAGATGAGATTAATGAAGTATAGTAGGTGGCGGTTATGATTCAATATCATATTAATTCATGATTTTTACGGTGGAAACAATGTACTATGCTATTTCGGTGGAAACTATGGTAGCGGGACATAAAATTATCAACATTTGCAAATATGAAAAATGTGATTAAGTCATCTTCATTATAGCCAATTTATCAGCAGATGAGCGCCATCAACAAATTACATTTTTTAAGCAATTCCAAGTTTGTATAACACTCGTCCTTGGCTGATTTTACTCTTGGGTATTCCAGGTATGCTGCATCCTCTTCAGTTCAATGAATGGACTTCTGATGCAGTTATGATCAGTGGATTTTCAACTGAGAGCCAAGCAGAGCCACTGCAAAACACCAAGCCACACATCAGTAAATGATAACACCACATTGAGGAAATACACAAATCTTAATCCACGTTCACACTTGTGCATCACCTGCAGGATATCCAGCTCAATCTTCCCGGTGTTCTTCTTATTAAATGCTTCAAACATTTCTGCATAGAGCACAGATGAAAACGTTACAGTAAACCATCGTCATCATGTTTGTTTATAGCAATTCATTTAAAACTGGATAATCTTCAGCAAAACTTACTGAAGAGCATTTCCAGGCGAATCAGGCAGCCAACGAAGGAATCAAAGTCAATGGCATACTGCTGATTGGCATAACGCGAGACTATCACCTGAAGAACGTCAATGTTCAGCTGGAACCCTGTGAAGAAAAGCAAATACAACCAGAAGAAATGAACGACTATATTGTCCTCAATGTTTAGACTAAACATAAGCCCCTTTCACACATACAGTCTTTGATTAGTTGGGTCAGGTGTGTTTAATTAGGGTTGAATCTAAGTTCTGCAGGGCTCTGGGATTTTTGTATTTACCAGTAAAGTCATTCCGGTAGTTTTACGGCAATTTACTGGTATTACTGTGTGAAATGTGCCGTTGACTCATTACCTGCTTCTTTCACCGCATCTCTCATCTCATGGGAGCTCATCGTGCCGGAGTTGTCTGTATCATGCTTCTTAAAAACCTCCTGGTCAGGTATGACAGAAAATACACCTTCAGTATTTAACATTGCAAATTTTTTCAGAACTTAATGGCCACAAAGTTACTCTGTGGTAGGGATGCACAATAGATCTGTACCATATCGATTATTGTCTAATATTAGAGATTTTTCATTTATCTTTAATTTACACCAAGATATATGTTATACCAAATATTTCTGGATCTTTATCCACAGTATGTGAAACTCCACAGAGCCGAGTTTGCCGTCCCCGTCTCTCTGGACTGAGGTTAAGGGTTATAACAGGGCTATGATGATTAATTTGGTTGAAAGGACTCTGTTGACTCTGCAACAGATTATCTGTGATTAAAATACAAACTGGAGATTTGTGAGGAAACTGCAGGGGGGTTGTGAGTTGATGAAAAGCTAATAATTAATTAAATCATAAAAATGTCAAATAAAAATAAATATTTTCAAAATTAAAGCAAAATCTCCGTATTAATCCATGTAGTATTTATTCATATGATCCAGTGGGGTAAGGATACATCTAGCAGACTGATAATGTGGCGACAGGTTTCCATACTAAAGCCATCGGTCTTCACATCAGTTCCTGTGTGAAATACCACAAAACACTGTAAGAATGATAAGCACAGAATTTCAATTTCAAGGCACTTTCTTTTCTATATATATGTATGTGTGTGTGTGACCCTGGAGCACAAAACCAGTCATAAGGGTACTTTTTTTTATTTATTGAGATGTATACATCATCTGAAAGCTGAATAAATGAGCTTTCCATTGATATATGGTTTGTTAGGATCGGACAATATTTGGCCGAGATACAGCTATTTGAAAATCTGGAATCTGAGGGTGCAAAAAAATCTAAATATTGAGAAAATCATCTTTAAAGTTGTTCAAATGAAGTTCTTAGCAATGCATATTACTAATCAAACATTAAGTTTTGATATATTTACGGTAGGAGATTTACAAAATATCTTCATGGAACATGATCTTTACTTAATATCCTAATGATTTTATGATGATAATTTTGACCCATACAATGTATTGTTAAAATTTACCCGTGCGGCGACTTGTGGTCCCGTGTCACACACACACACACACACACACACACACACACACACACATATATGGGAAAGTTTGTTTTCCTACGTTTCGAGACAACACTGTCCAGGATCTGCTTTAGTTCAAACACAGACACCTCTGAGTCCTGCAGAGTGAAGACAAGATCATGTGTGATAATGATAACGACCCAGAACTGAAAATGACCAGCCTTACATTAAAAATGACTTACATTTCCAGCAAACTGATTGAAAAGTTGTTTGAAATGTGGGTCCACATCACTATCGGATATGTATTGCTGGGAAAGAAAAAAACTTTTTAAAAATTAAGTAATTTTTGATTTTATATGGTTATATATCTGAATTTATATAAACATCTTTCTTTTAAATAATAATAACACACACTATGTTTGTAAATGATGAATTCACCTTTTCCACGTCTGCACTGATCTCCGTATCCATCGGGCTGCAATGACGAGAGTCAGAAACATCCATCATGCATTTGAGTGCAAATACAAGAATCTTTAGAGTACAGTTACGATTTATTTGTCAGACAAATAAATGTTTTAGTGTAACGATCCATTCTAGGCTGAACAGAACCTGTGCAACAGCATCCCCATGTGGTCTAAAACTGGAACTACATAATTTCATGTTTTTTTTTAGTTGAAATATAAAACCACTCGACAAACCTGGCAGCAGCCTCTTTCTCTGTGAACACGCGCAGTATGAAGCTTCCGTTGCAATGCGGCTCGTAAGTGGAAGGGATGATGGCGTATTCACCCGGAGGCAGTTTGAAGCGCTCAATCACCTCTCGCTTGTTGGTGAAGGGGTGGCTCCGTGCAGTGTACCGCTGACGCAGCAATACATCAGGACCGAGATGAATGTTATTGCAACCCTTAAACTGCAACACAAACATGATGGATGAAAAGGCTTCTCAAAACTTGCAAAGGTTGTTTCATATAAATGTATCGTACGAAGCCCAAAAGGGGACAAGGTGATGGAAAAACATCAAATGGAAGGAGTAATTACATTATAATGCTTTTGTGTCCAGTCACAGAAGTTATCTTGCAAAAGTATTGTGTTCCCCAGAGAATTTTTGCATTCTCTCCCTAAACATTTGCAATCCCCAGAGAAATTTTGCATTCTCTCCCTAAACAGTTTTGCAATAATTGTTCTTCCCATAATTTTTTTTTGTCCTTTTAGGGGCTCCTTAGCATAACATTGGTGGTGTCCGACTACTCTTATGTACAAACCATTCAGATTTCATACATACCTTATCTGGAACCTGAAAAACACAAAAACAAATTATATTATTCAATGTTCATATAATTTCACCACAAAATTTAACCACAAAATTTTTTAATTAGTTGTAATATTGATAGTTTTGTCAAAGGAAAAGTGTGTTTGATAAAACAGTTGCATTTTCTCCATAGATCATTTGAATTATCATCATTATTATTATTACTATTAGTAGTAGTAACATTTCAAGACAGATCTACCCTGAGCTCGGAGGCTATTAATCAATATTTCAGCTTAATTTAAAGGAAAAAAATGTATATCCAAACTCCAGATGAAGAACTACACTAATCATGAATCCTCAAGAGAATTGTGATTCATCTTGGAGCAGGTTGCTTTAGTTCATGGCTCTTTATTGACTTAAATTTTTTGGAATCCTTGGAGAAAATGAATGGGAAATACATCTCTGAAACTAAGACTGCTAAAAATATGGTTGCACGGTCGGTGGTACTACAGGTTGTGACGTTGTTTGTGGTGTTGATGGAAACGTTGCTTCTAGTACTAACAGCATTACTGATTGTATGTAACCAGTTACCTTATAGATAATGAAGCCAATGGCGTTCGGGTCTCGTCCAATCTGCTTGTCTTTACGAAAATCTTTCTGCATCAGACCCACTAGGATCGTGCAGCCGTCCTCTCCATCATAAGGATCATCATCTTCTTCCTCCAGCTTGATTACAAACTGAGGGTTTGAGCAGAATGTAGCTGGAGAGAAGGAACCAAATGGTCAGACGGTTGAAAAAAAAAAAAGTTTTATCTAAATTTAGTTTCAAGCACATTGTGTTTGATTTGATTTACCTTCATTGTTCTTGCAGCCCCCTGCGGTGGATCCCACCCTCCAGTCACCTTCAAACTGGCTGTAGTTCCAGCAGCTCACAGTGGCACTTGAAAGGGCGTCTGGAGTCTGATTACAGATGTCCAACCTCGAGAACTGCTGTATGAAGTCCGAATATGCCATCCTGACAGGTCAAGGAAGATTCGTCAGTATTTGGCAACGTATTTGTTACGTTGTTGAGGGTTAAAAGCTCAAGTTCTCTTACCAGAACTCTCCATCTTCTGCTGAATAAAACAGTTTAGCTTTCTCCTCTGGTTGGATGCTATTCCACTCTTTGGAACTGAAAAAGGCATATTTTACAGGACTATCAGGACTGATGTTGAAGGTGTAAGATCTGTTTAGGGAAACTCACTTGTCACTCCAAGAGCCTATCCACTCCACCCGACCCCACGGGTTCCTGATACGCACCAGCTGAACCAGACAGCCGTAAGAATGAACCTGTAGGTAAGGTGACAGGAAAAGCATTGAAGGAGGTCTAATGACGATCAAATCCATATTTCCGTGTCAGTGCCGGTTTCTTACCTCCTTTGCGCCTGTGACAGAGTAGGCATGACGCCTCACCAGCTTCAGACTTGTCTTCGTCTCTGTGTCCTGCGAACTGGACTTTTAGACATTTGTAATGATAAACAAACATTAGAAGATGAGGATTGAACCTGCATTTCCCACATGATAGCAAAATAATTGTTTATTCTTTTATTTTTATTAGGGATGATGCATAACATATCAGCTGTTGTATCGGCCATTAAATGTTACTTTTTAATGTTATCAGTATCAAGCCAATAAATAAAACAGGCCTATATATAGCCAAGTTTGGCCTATTGTAACGGAGGCCAGCGGGTCGGTGCTGTGCAGGTAAACCTCACTCCCCTGATCTCAAGAGGCGGCACACTAGTGACTGACGCTAGTGACTGCAGTCTTTAGCCTCCTTGTTAGTGCGATAACAGTGTAAATAGTGAAAAATATTTTTTGGGCAGCAAATCAGCATATTAGAATGATTTCTGAAAGATCATGTGACACTGAAGACTGGCGTAATGATGCTGAAAAGGAATCATTGGTATAAATTACATTTTAAAATATCTACAAATAGAAAAGTTATTTGAAATCTTTCATAATCCTGGCCTGTGTTCACGTCTTGTGTTTTGTACACGTATTTTGAAATGTATTTCCCTATTGTTTCTTTGCTATTTTGTCATTAGCCCATTTCACACATACAGTCTTTAGTGGTAAATTACCATTAAGAGATCATGTGTGAAGGACCTTTTCAAAAATACCTGTAAATTCGTTCTGGTATGAGAAGTTGTAACATTACCAGTAAATTTACCGGTAATGTGCTCTGTGTGAACGCAGAACGAGATTATCTGGTATAATGGGTGATTCTATAATTGCAGGTATTTGGTGTCCAAAGTCATTATCATTGTCACACCATCACCCTGTTTTGACTTTGGTTGTCTGTCTTGTTCATTGACCTAATTCTGTTTCCCCTTGATTTGCCTTAGTTGTTTCACCTGTGTCTAGTTAATTTAGTCATTAGCCCCTCTTCCGTTTGTTTAAATTCCCTTCCTTTAGTTATTTGGTTGTCGGTTATTGTTGGATGTTACCCTTGTGTGTGAAAATTACCTTCCCTGTGAAATGATATGAAAGAATTAAGATTATTTTCGTTGTGCGCTCTCTTTGTCCTCATTCCAATGCGTAGCTGTGACAATAACCGACCACTAAGTGTAAGTGGCGTGTGTTCACAGTTTTCCTTTTAAAACCTTGCGTGCATGGACCGTCCCGAATTCCTCCTCCTCCTCCTGCTGGAGCAGGGGGCACGATCTCTCGAGGACCACACAAGACTCTTTCTGGAAGTAACACATTACACCAGCTACTTGAGTCCCGGACGACTGCCTCTGCATGTTCTATAATATCGGTCCTCGAGAGAGCTTCGCTGCCTTTTTGTGGAGTCCCACTCCAGACCCAGAGCCCAGCCCACCATCACCCCACAGCCCTCCGCGACCGACGAGCCATCGCCAAAGAGAGCGACAGAGCCGAGGGACGCCCCGGAGCTAGAGCCTGAGACTTCAGACCAGGTGCGAGAGCTGGTAACTGTGCACGCGATGGTGGATATCACAGTGGAGAGTGCAGAGGGAAGCCCCGCCCCCTGTACTACTGCTGAGGGTGAGTGGAGGCAGGATTTAGAGGACTTGATTGACTTTTATTCTGATGTGCCCAGTCTTCCGTCATCATTTGTCTGTCCTGTCACAACCACGGAGGTTGTGCCCAAACTGTCAGTCTGCCCTGAACTGTCTGCCCATATCAAACTTCTGTCTGTCCCATCTCCTGGCAGCCTCTCAGCTCACCCTCAGCCCACCATCTGTGCGGTGGGATCTCGGCGGGTCTGCCAGTCTCTATCAGCATCATGGCTGGAGTATCCCTGGTCTCCGCCTCCAGCCTCTAAATCCCGGACTCTGCCACGGCCCGTTGACCCAACGGCTCCACCATGGCTCCTAGCTCCCTCATCTCCACCGTGGCCCGTCAGTCCACCAGCTCCGCCGGGCTCCCTCGTCCCTTCGGCTCCACCTTGGTCAGTCGTCGACCATCTGCCGCCTCAGGACTCCACTACTCTGGCTGCACCTTGACCCTCCATCCCTGTCAGGCTCCTCCTTCCCTCCAGCTCCACCTTGGTCCTCTGTCGCTCCGGCTCCACCGCGGCCTTCCGGATCCCCGCCTCGGTCGCTGGAGCCATCTGCTCCGCCTTGACCCTCCGGATCCACCCCGTCGCCTTGGCTCATCAGCTCTCCGTCTCCACCCCGGGCTCTTCTCCCACCTGCTCTGCCGCCATCGGTCACCATGGCTGCTCCCTCCGTCGGCTCCACCGTGGGTCGTGCTCTCTTTGTCCTCATTCCAGCATGCAGCCGTGACAGTCATACTTATTTCTGCTTTTTAATCTTTATTTTTATTGGTTTGTATGTGTTAAGTCCCTATATAGAAAATGTGAGGTTAATAGGGGAGGAGGGGGAGAGACAAGAGACGTGCAGCTGAGGAGAGAGCTGATCGGAGCGATTTAGTTGACAGATTGCAAAATATACAGTAAATTAATCGATAGATCATCATATTAATACTTTGAAGTGTATATTGTGCGTGTGTATACATGAGTGGTTGAGTTAATTCTGTTGTTTATATTTGAATTCTGAGTGATTATATTAGTTTTTTCCATTATTGTGTTTACGTAATTCGCTTGTAAATGGAGCTGAAACAAACTGTGCTTCAAGTTATCTTCAAAAATAACTCTCAAAAAAGGACAAAAGGACTGAAATCTTTGTGAATTCATCGTGTAATCATCCCGAGGGAGACCAGATAGTGCCCCAGATCACCATGAGGTCTGGGGTTCCTCTGGATGCGTTGGAGTGTGACCCACATCGTCTGCCAGTGACAGCGCAGGATGAGGATCTGCAAGAGGCCTACCACGGTGTTTCGCGACCATTTCAAACTTCCGGGGTGGGTTGTGAGAGTGTGCGTGTGTTAACTGTGTGTGCGTGGGCCCACAGTGTGTAATATCAGTTCATACAGTGTTATGCAGTGCGCTTCAGAACTATGAGTATTCAGAGTAATATTTTGACACCCAGAGTGAGTTACTGTGTACGTTTAATTTCAAGTGTGTTAGTTTGCTCAATTGACTCGAAGTGTATTTGACACAGAGGTCAATTCAATAATTTTGTAATTCAGTAATTCTCATTTGTGATATTTACCTTTTGAGGTTAAATTGTACCGAACTTGATATCAACTTGATTATGTGAATACTTTGCAACTAGAAATTTCTACTCTTTTATTCTACTTGAATTAAATTCTTTATATTTTTTTACTTCAAGTGTTTTATTTATTCAAAAGAGTTTGTTCTTGACCAGTGAACTTGTGTGAGCATAGATTTTATTCTGAGTAACTTTTTAAAAGAGAAGTATTTCATTCAGTGACATCAGACGGACCTTTATACAACATCTCTTAGGCATTAGTTTATTGAACCTGGTGCTGCTCCATACTAAACCGTTATAAAAGAAGGTAGGGGGCGCTACACTCTGTTACCAAGGTAGAGTGGCAGTGTTGACAGTATGTAACAGAAATGACAGTAATGTATGTTTGTGCGTGTTTCTATGTGTATGACTGCCAATTTTGTCTGCACAGTTTTTTGGTCCAGACGCCGCCGAAGCAAGGCAACAACACCGTCGGCTTTCGTCGCCGCTTGTTCTTTGAAGTCAGCTTGGTGTGTCCCGGCCTTAAAATGTCAACTCTGAGCTAGTCATAACATTCTGACGCAGGTAATGCATTTACTCCATGCTATGTAGCTAGGTTTGAAGTCGTCTAATATGATGTCTCTGGGCCAAAAGCAGCTTCATGAATGTGAACGTTTGACAAAAATGAAAACATCAACAAAAACAATGACCACGTTTACCCCTTATTTCCAGTTAATGATGTCACAGAATTTACTGGCATTTTGAAACTGATGTGTGAATGGAACGTCAATGCCTGTGTGAACAGCGCATTTTTGTATTTACCAGTAAAGCCGGTAATTTTACGGCAATTTACTGGTATTACTGTGTGAAAGGGGCTATAGTCTATTTGCCTTGCTGCCTCATTTGTCTCCATAGCAACCCTTGTTAATCTCTTTGACAACTAATTACCCACACCTGTCCCTTGTCAGCCCAGGTTAACTTGTGTACATATATATACCCATGTTTCCCTTGTTCAGTGTCAGTTGTTGCTTAGTCTCGAGTAGCCAGACCTTCAGACTGACGGCAGAAGGTTTGGGGACCTTGGCCGCTTTGAATGGCCAAGGCCTGCCCAAGAGGCTATATGACTGACAGCTAAAGCAACCAATCACTTTTCGTTTTATGCCGTGTCATGTTTAGGGGTGTGGAAATGTCCCCACAATAACAGACCAGTGTGTAAAACTCTTGGACATATTTGAAATATTCTATGCCGCATACTTTATATATTTCACATACTTTTGAAAATACAGCGTTTAGTTGATCCTGATAAGCACTTATTGTCACAGTTGTAAACACGAGGACTTTCTCCTTCCATGAGGGGGTTTGGCATCGTGGCATCATTGTTTCCAGGCGGAATGTTAAAGAACGCGATGCACACATCTCCCGGAAATCCTGTATAATTCAACGATGATGACTTTGAAACTCCTAAAGTGTTTCCAATTTTGTGTGCGATATGCATCAGACATTCAGCCAACGGTCCGTGGGCGTGACGTCTGAGGCAGTGACTAGTTGTTGCTCTGCTGTAGATGCCCTTGTCTTGGATTTCCTGGTTTGCTCCTACGCTGTGATCCTGTGTACCAGTGATTATTTCTCTCCACTTTGTTATTTAACTTGTTACTAAACATATTAAACTGCATATTGGACAATATAATAGTTATGAGCTTCAAAATATTAATCGATATCATTATCAGCCAACGTGTTCATCAGGGCATTCCTGAAACAAAAGTCACACTTGAAACTTGTGGTATTTAGTGTGAGCTAACATTTGATATTTCCACATTAACTAGACCACAGATCCACTAAAATATTTATCTAAAGTCCTATTAAGTATTATATATTTATACACAATTTTTTCTTGCCTTGGAGAAATAAATGATGTGAAAAGAAAGTCAAGAGAAGTGGAATGGGACTCACAGAAATGGAGCAGGCCATTAATGATCTCAGCGTCAGTGCTTTCTGCATGAGCTTAAACAGGTGTGGAGGAGCTTTGGTCAGCTCATAGCTCTCAGCGATGCCTCCAGTGAAATCCTCAAAACCCTCAGTGGCCCGGCCTCCCGTCAGAGCTTCATATGAGCCATTTAGCCTTCAAAATACAGGAGAAATCAGCACCACTGGCTGGTCATGTCACGGATATGTGACATGTATGAACATTATGTGTTTTCTAGGCTGTGGTTTGACACAGTGTTTACCAAGCGTTTCAGATGACTCAGTAGATTTTTTTTCAGCAGTACAGTACAGGTAAGTAGTAGCAGGTAAATTATGAATAAACACACACTTACTTTGCATAGGCCTTTTCCAACAGGGCGCTCCAGAACTCAGAGCCCTCGGCTGAATGAACAAACAGCAGCTTCCCATCTTTGGTGGGCAGCCGGTCATCAATGACCACATCCACCCATTCACCAAACTGCCAGAACTGAAGAGACGAGGACAACACCAAACATTCTGACATTGTCCCTTTAATTTATTATTGGAATAATAAAGTTATAAATACTCAAATGATGTCTAACAGTCTGAGACTAAAAATAATCTATTTTGCATTTTTCTAATGTTGTATGATTCCCCATCAAACAGGAACTCCCGTTGTGTCAGCATATGATGCTTGGTGAAACTCCTGTTTACTCTGTTACTGAAGCCTGATTTGCTCACATTTGTGTAGCTGCACAAACCAATGGAGCTCGAGCCCACCAGAAGGGGAGGAGCCGACCACTATACAAGTCGGCTCAGAGCGGCATTTCATCAGAATTTTTCTCCTTCAGCAACAAGATCACCTCTTCGCTGATTCTGCGATCAAGAAGCTGAAGAAGGAAGAAGTACAGCCTACAGCTCGCCACCGTAGAAGAGCCCCGGCAGAGGAAGAAGCGAGAAGCCTTCCCCTGCGGCCATCCGGTGCTTCAAAAGTGCAAATTTCTGAGCAAATTTTCAATGACGTTGAAAGGCACAGTGAGTGTGTCGCCTGTCTGAGCAGTGCCCACACAGAGACTGCGCGCTCACTGAGACGGAAGGCTCTCACTGAGAGCATGAGTCTCACTCTTCTCCGCTCACAGGCGCTCCGCTCATTCTTCAATGAAGGCAGCCCCGCTCTCCCGTTTCTAGAATCCTTTCAATTCAATTATTTTAGGCGGATCGGAGTAGAATGCTGTCACCGATGTTTCTGTATCACTGACAGGATCACACTAGACTGCGCTCACTGACACAGACTGCTTTCACTGCGAGGGCATTGGGTCTGTTCCTGCTTCACTCACGGATTGCTTTCTTCAATGAGTGACCCCGCCCCTCCCACTCTCCCCTCCTAGCTACCTTGGAGGAAGAAACAGCGAACTCATGGGATGAGCTATCAGGCTTGAGTGATCGCACACCTGCACAGGTCCCGCATGCTTCACTCTCTCCCCAGCACTTTGATCTGCCAGTATGTTTCACAGGTGAAGATCAGCGCCCCTCATTTGCACTGAGTGGTTTGATCATTTAGGCAGATCAAAGGAGAATGCGCGCAGCCCATTGATCCAGACATTGCTTGCAAAAGGAGCCATAGAAGTGGTTCCTTTAACGAACAGCAAGTCAGGCTGCTACAGCCACTACTTCCTTGTTCCTAAGAGAGATGGCGGGCTCAGACCAATTCTCGATCTCAGCGATTCGCTCGCTCATGCGAAGGCCGTTCAGGATGTTAACTTTGAAGCAGATCCTCGTGCAAATATGTCCCAAGGACTGGTTTCTGTCTGTGGATCTAAAAGACATCCACTTTCATATCCAAATAGCCCCCTATCACAGACCATTCTTGAGATTCGCATTCGAGGGAGTGGCCTATCAACACACAGTCCTGCCATTCGGGCTGTCTCTGGCCTCTCACACTTTTACGACGTGCATGGACATGGCTCTTTTCCCCCCTGAGGCAGATGGGAATCCGCATCCTGAACTACTATGACAATTGGCTGATTCTAGCCAGATCAGAACGGGAACTCATCACTCACAGGTCGCTGCTGCTCAGCCACCTACAGCGTCTTGGGTTGAAAATTAACATTTTCAACATTAAAATTTTTTCCTCCCAGACAGCGGGTGGTCTTTCTGGGGACAATTATAGACTCTGCTCAGATGAGAGCATGGATTACGCCAGAACGCTCCCTGACCATTCAGCGGCTAGCGCCGTCATTCAGGCCAGGGACTTCACGTACCCTCAAGGATTTCCAGAGGATGCTCTGCCTCATGGTGGCTGCTTCCTCTGCGATTCCTTTGAGACTGCTCAACATGTGGCCCCTTCAATACTGGCTGAAAGCACAAGTCCTGCCCCACGCCTGGCGCCTGGGCCGATCCTATGTCAGGGTAACCCGCCGCTGCATCAGAGCTGTGGTCCCCTGGAAATCCTGTTACAACCAGATGTCCCGTTGGGAATGACCTCAAGATGGAAGGTGGTTACGACAGATGCCTCCAACTGGGGTTCTGAGAGCTCTGTATGAGGGCAAACCGGCGTTCGGCTCCTGGTCAAACCTGGAGCAGCACTTGCATATCAACTGCCTCGAAATAATGGCAGTTTTTCTGGTCCTAAAAACCTTCCTATTAGCCTGAATGGGGCACCACATCCTAGTCCAGACAGACAACACGACAGTGGTAGCCTATATTTATCAACAAGGCGGTCTCAGGTCACGCTCCCTTCACAGGTTGGCTCGACATCTCCTGTAGTGGGCACGGAGCAAAGTCATCTCACTTAAAGCGGTTAACGTGCCAGGCAGATTGAACCAAGGGGCAGACATGCTGTCCAGAGACAATGTATCTCCAGGGGAATGGAGAGTACATCCTCAGATGGTTCAAATTATCTGGTCTGTTTTCGGGAGGGCAGAGGTATACCTCTTTGCTTCAGAAGACAACGTTCACTGTCCAATTTATTTCTCGAGACAGCGAGACGCTCTAGCCCATGATTGGCCCAGCGCTTGCCTGTACACATTTCCTCTGATAGCCCTGCTCCCTCAGGTCATCAGACGGGTCAGGGAAGTCGGGTGCTCAGTCCTCCTGGTAGCCCCACTCTGGAGGAACCAAGTCTGGTTCTCTGAATTGATCCAGCTGCTGTCAGCAGCTCCCTGGCTAATACCACTGAGGAAGGACCTTCTCTCGCAAGCGAAGAGCATGATTTGGCATCCCCAGCCAGAGCTGTGGAGACTTCATGTTTGGTCCCTCGACGGGGAGGCATTGCAGCTCCCTGCGAGTGTGACTAATACCGTTTTAGAGGCTATAGCACCATCTACAAGATGCCTTTACGTTCTTAAATGGTTGGTCTTTAATGATTGGTGCACAGCATGCTGCCTGGACCCGTCCTCTTGTGACATGCCCACATGCTAACCTTTCTACATGAGCTGTTGGACAAGGGTGCAGTCGCTCCAGCACACACTTTTAGTCAGTGCTTCTTGTCTTGAGTTTGGGCCTAACGACTGTAAAGTCGTCCTCAAACCGAGTCACAGCTATGTGCTGAAAGTGCTCTCGACCTCGTTCAGAGCAGACGTTATTACCCATCTAGCACTCCCCGTTGCAGACGGTGAGCAGGGTCTCAATCCACTTTGCTCAGTGTGGGCTTTGAGAGTGTATGTGGAACATTCCGGCCTGTTCAGACACTCAGAGCAGCTCTTTGATAGCTTTGGAGGCTGCTCTAAAGGGCTGCCTGTCACAAAGCAGAGACTATCTTGCTGGATAGTAGATGCTATAGCCTTGACTTACGCCTCCGCAAGCTTGCAGTGCCCTATAGGGGTAAAGGCCCACTCCACTCAAGGGATGGCCTCCTCTTGGGTGTGGTCTAGTGGGATTTTTATTGGTGAGATTTGCCAGATTCTATAATTTGGATGTCCCTGCCATGCAGGCATGAATTCTTTCTGCTTAATCTGCCTAATCCCCTTTGCAAGTGGAAAAGGCCATGTTATGTAGGCCCCTCAGCATTATGGCTCGGGTCTAGTTACATGCTTATGATTACAGGAGTCCTCAGTTGAGTGCTCCGGGGATGAGCTTGCAGAGCTGCTTCGTTCTGCAGTTGCTTGCGTCATACGCTGACGCAATGGGAGGTCCTGTTCGATAGGGAATGCGCTGGTTACTTACGTAACCTTGGTTCCCTGAGATAAGGTAACGAGCGTTGTGTAGGTTGCTGTGCTATAAGGCTGCACACGAATCAATGACTGCCGTTTCAGTCTAAAGATTCTGATAAAATGACGCTCTGAACCAATTTATATATTGGTCGGCTCCTCCCCTTCTGGCGGGCTCAAGCACCATTGGTTTGTGCAGCAACACAAACAAGAACAACTCAGGCTTCAGTAAGAGAGTAAACAGGAGTTTCCCCAAGCATCATACACTGACGCAACGTTCGTTCTCTTATCTCAGGGAACCGAGGTTACATTGTAACCGGAGAGTTTTTTTATTATAAATTCTAATATTAACTAACAATTCATGTGAAAATTTGATTTATATTATTTAGATTAAGTAATGCTTTTTTTAATCCTAAAATGTTGCAACTTTTCTTCCAGGTTTAAATTAGATTTTTTAATTCCAGATCTTCAGTATGGTCTCAGACTTTTTGATCCCACTGTATGTTTATACCTGAAAGTGAAAGATGCCGGCATAGTTCTCTGTAAAACTCTGTCCATGTGGAACTACACGTTCCAGAAACTCATTTTCCAGAGTCAAAGATGCAATAGCTGCCAACAACCAACAGTCACCTGCAAATATATCAAATGTCATTAGATACTTCTGCATTACACTCATTATTTTATGCAAATTGACTTCCAGTGCACTTATTACAGATATAGTCTTCCAGGATCAACGTGGGCTTCAGTGTTTTGCTTAAGGAGTATCCTGAGCATATGTTTCCTGCTCAATGGTGATGCTCCATGGATTAACCATTGTGGGGTTTGAACCTACAACCTTTAAATGTTAGGTCTAAAACAAATCTCATAATATGTTTTTCCACAAGAAGATATGTGCACTTAGTAGTGTGAGGCAACTTTAAGAACAAAGTATGAGTAACAATAATAGTGATGCTAGCTTTAGAAATCGCTACTTAAACACTTACCACTAAATCTTGCCTGAATTTTGACCCTCACCATTTGTGCTATGATCATAAAACTAGAGATAAAGTTAAATAAAGGTTCCAAAAGGGAGTTTTTGCAGTGATGCCAAAGAACCACCATTTTGGTTCCTCAAAGAACCTTTTAGTGAATATTTCTAAAGGAACTATTTTTTCCTTTATTTATTTTTTTTATTCTTATTGTAAATAACATTTTTAATACACTGAAGACCCTTTTCCACTATGAAAACCTTTTGTGTAATGCAAAGAGTCCGTGGTTGTTAACGGTTCTTCTTTAAACCATAGGACGCCAACCTTTATTTTCAAGACTGATGGATAACTCTTACATTATATACATTTTACTTTACGCTTTTTACCAAAACGGGTAAAAAAAATCTTAAATTGAAAGAGTTACTAAGTTATATCACTTCAATTTCAATTATGTTCAATCTATTTTTGTCAGAACTATATGAATCACTGAAACATTTTTTTAAAATGTTTAAATTAATTGCTATTTATTGTGTTTTTGAGAAATTGTATCATATAAGCCAAATATGTGGCGTAATTTCTGATATAGTGATTATATTTATTATTTTTCTGTGTTAACACCCGAACAACAGCTTTCTGATCAAAAGGCTCTTTTCTCACCTAAATCTCCTTGGCAGATGTCTGTCCGCGTAGCGCCGTCCACAATGAACTGAGGATTTGAGTAGAGCTCCTTTAAAAAAAAGCACAATGTGAGAACAATTAAGCCAGAATCACACTACAGGAGTTTTAAAATCCTAACCGATTATGAAATCTGGTTGCAGATCCCTCAAATCTTAACCATGCACACACTACAAGATTTGAAAATTGTGGCACATCACAAATACAAGATAGTATTAAGATTATCATGCCGGAGGTATCGCCTCACGTGATCTCACACAGCAGATCGTCACTGATATTTCAGTGATGTTTACATGTATTAGCTAGCGTGCTAACTTAGCAGCTTTCTGCACTCACCCGGTACATTCAAAACTGATTTACAGTTGTGATACATTTCAGACACATTATACAGGTAGTCTTGTTACTACAAAACGTCAAGAAACAGTTTCCTCCATCTCCACTATCCAACGGAGCCGTACAGCAGCTGTTTTGCGGTTGCGCATGGGCTATTGTGAAAGTACGTAATCATAGCCGTCATTATCCCGATTTAAAATCCTAAATATCAAACATGTTTGATATGATTGGGATGGCCCCAATTTGTGTGCGAGCAGATCAGGAGGTACAAGATTCAATCTTTAAACGCCTCACATTACAAGATAATCCGCGCCGAACATCGGGACTGATCGAGGTGCTCGACAAGATTTTTGCTCCGATTCTCAGGAAGGGAAAATCGGGGTTAAATCGGGCTAAAACTCCTGTAGTGTGAGCCCGGCTTTAGAGGTGGTAGTGTTACACTATGTAATGGTAACAATAGCTTCTATTTACCCTTCGCAAAACGCACATGTAAAAATATAGCTTTCTAAATGTATCAAAAAGTATTGTAATGTTTTTACAAATGTTGAAGGACACTAGTTAATGTGATGATGTTCAGCAGTGTTAATTTAATAATAATTGGTTCTAGCTGTTAGTCCCCTGTTCTCTTTAAGGGGTGGGGGTGGTCCCACGGGGGGAGGATGGACTGGAGAGTAAGTTCAGAGTTAGAGACTGTGAGAGTAGCAAGTGTTAGTTATTCTTTTATTGTTCTGTTATGTATGGCTTGGTTGCGGCCAAAACAGTAAACCCTACAGTATTCAACACAAGATCTGAGCTGCTGCCGGTTACCATAGTGAGCATATCACACACACACACCTATGCAAACATAAATGCAAAAACTGCATTTTTCCATCTCAAAAAATATATCTAAATTATGACCTGTGCTATCAATGTCAAATGCAGAAATGTTCATTCATGCGTTCATGACCTCAGGGTTAGATTATTGTAACGCTTTATTGGGTGGTTGTTCTGCATGCTTAATAAACAAACTCCAGCTGGTCCAAAATGCAGCAGCTAGAGTTCTTACTAGAACCAGGAAGTATGACCATATTAGCCCGGTTCTGTCAACACTGCACTGGCTACCTATTAAACATCCTATAGATTTTAAAATCTTGCTTATTACTTATAAAGCCCTGTATGGTTTAGCACCTCAGTATTTGAACGAGCTCTTGTTACATTATAGTCCTCCACATCCGCTGCGTTCTCAAAACTCTGGCCATTTGATAATACCTAGAATATCAAAATCAACTGTGGGCGGCAGATCCTTTTCCTATTTAGCGCCCAAACTCTGGAATAACCTACCTAACATTGTTCGGGAGGCAGACACACTCTTGCAGTTTAAATCTAGATTAAAGACCCATCTCTTTAACCTGGTTTACACATAACACACTAACACATTTCTAATATTCAAATCTGTTAAAGGATTTTTAGGCTGCATTAATTAGGACAACCGAAACCGGGAACACTTCCCATAACACCCGATGTACTTGCTACATCGTTAGAAGAATGGCACCCAATTAAGCCAGAATCACACTACAGGAGTTTTAAAATCCTAACCGATTATGAAATCTGGTTGCAGATCCCTCAAATCTTAACCATGCACACACTACAAGATTTGAAAATTGTGGCACATCACAAATACAAGATAGTATTAAGATTATCATGCCGGAGGTATCGCCTCACGTGATCTCACACAGCAGATCGTCACTGATATTTCAGTGATGTTTACATGTATTAGCTAGCGTGCTAACTTAGCAGCTTTCTGCACTCACCCGGTACATTCAAAACTGATTTACAGTTGTGATACATTTCAGACACATTATACAGGTAGTCTTGTTACTACAAAACGTCAAGAAACAGTTTCCTCCATCTCCACTATCCAACGGAGCCGTACAGCAGCTGTTTTGCGGTTGCGCATGGGCTATTGTGAAAGTACGTAATCATAGCCGTCATTATCCCGATTTAAAATCCTAAATATCAAACATGTTTGATATGATTGGGATGGCCCCAATTTGTGTGCGAGCAGATCAGGAGGTACAAGATTCAATCTTTAAACGCCTCACATTACAAGATAATCCGCGCCGAACATCGGGACTGATCGAGGTGCTCGACAAGATTTTTGCTCCGATTCTCAGGAAGGGAAAATCGGGGTTAAATCGGGCTAAAACTCCTGTAGTGTGAGCCCGGCTTTAGAGGTGGTAGTGTTACACTATGTAATGGTAACAATAGCTTCTATTTACCCTTCGCAAAACGCACATGTAAAAATATAGCTTTCTAAATGTATCAAAAAGTATTGTAATGTTTTTACAAATGTTGAAGGACACTAGTTAATGTGATGATGTTCAGCAGTGTTAATTTAATAATAATTGGTTCTAGCTGTTAGTCCCCTGTTCTCTTTAAGGGGTGGGGGTGGTCCCACGGGGGGAGGATGGACTGGAGAGTAAGTTCAGAGTTAGAGACTGTGAGAGTAGCAAGTGTTAGTTATTCTTTTATTGTTCTGTTATGTATGGCTTGGTTGCGGCCAAAACAGTAAACCCTACAGTATTCAACACAAGATCTGAGCTGCTGCCGGTTACCATAGTGAGCATATCACACACACACACCTATGCAAACATAAATGCAAAAACTGCATTTTTCCATCTCAAAAAATATATCTAAATTATGACCTGTGCTATCAATGTCAAATGCTCATTCATGCATTCATGCGTTCATGACCTCAGGGTTAGATTATTGTAACGCTTTATTGGGTGGTTGTTCTGCATGCTTAACTCCAGCTGG